AGTGTCGCTCAGAACGCTCTCCTCGAAGGCAAACTGTCTCCTCTACCCCTCAACGGGAAATCAATTTCAGGACGGATGCCCTGGGACCCAGTCTCGTAAATGATACACCCATCCAAATTCTTGAAAAAAAAAACCCCCCAAACCTAACTAAATCCTGGTTCTTTCTCCATCCCACGTTGCATCATTCCCTCTTGGTGAAATCAAGGGAAAAGATATGGGCTAGTTTAGGGGTCATACGAAAAGAAGTGAGCGAGTCTTTATCAGACGACTCCAGTCCCCCACCCCCAGTCGCCAGTGCTACCGATCATCCTAAAACCTCGCCCTCCAATCCTGCCTCATCTTCCGTCCCTTCTGCTCAGGGACCAACCCCGTTATTGGTCCTTCCTAGTCTTAACGTCAAGACCCCTGAAGGAAGGAAGAATCGCGCAATCTGGTGTAGGGCTTTGCTCGAGATCTCCGTCTTCTTGAAATGGTATAAATTACAACATCGTCAGTCTTTCTCTTATTTATCTCTCTTGTTCTCTAACTATCTTGGAAATCTGAACCGATTTTGGCCTGTATCTCTAGCTCATATCGAAGAATCGATCAAATCAAACTATATCGTCCCTTTTAATCTCGTGTCGGCTTACCCCAAGATCGTCCAAATGCTAGGAGGGAATTCGAGTGCGTAGTAGTTCAATCAAACATCCGAAGTGAACCCCTTGATTTTTCCACCAAGGGCTAACACAGGGCGTCGGTCCAATCCTTTTTTTTGCTGTGCTAAGTCCCGGTATTTCCAACCAAGTCGACGTGGCAAACCCCGAACGGCAAGCCAGTAGCCTATGCGGCCTACGCTAAACTAGGGATCGTCCCGAGCGTGCCAGATGGGGTGATCATCTCCGGCTACGAGGTCCAAGTGCGCACGTTCCCCCACCTGCGTTATGAGTTCTACGAGGCGCTTCGGGAGATCCAGATGATCCGGGAAAGCCAATCTTTGGCGGTATTCTTGGGTATCGAGGCCAGTCGAGGCGTTGTCGGGTTCGTCTCCTCTTCAAAACTCCCCTCCAGTTTATTTTTCGTTATCACACCCTCACTCAATTGATTGATTCATTGTCTCGCTTCGTTAGACTTACCGAAGCTAGATTGGCTTGGAATTTGATCTGCGGTGATGGCAAAGATCCTTCCTTTGATAACATGGATCTTACTAGAGAAGATTTCATGATGAACGCGTATAATGCCAAAGAAGCCGCTGAGACTAATCCAGCTGAGAAAACAAAACTGTCAGTCTTTTTTTCTTAAAAGATTTGGATTTTGTGAATGTGACAGAGGATCAGCCCATCAGTTAACATTATGGCATTTTTATGTTCAAATAAACAGTCGGAATGCGCTCAGGACTTTAGTCGAGGCCAATCCGACCAATGAGCTTTTACGAGTCATCTCAGATACCGCCAATAGTGCGGCAGAAGAAAAGGCTAACCCTATGGACTTGAACAAAGCATATGCCACCCTAGGTGATATTATACCCGAAGTGGATGACGAGATGCTGTGGATGGCTTATACAATTGGCGTCAGTCTTTCCTAACCCCCTTTCCCACTAAGCACATCCTTAACTGATCCATCTGTTCTTTCTTTTGGCTATATCAGGTTTCTGATCAACCTGGTCAGAAAGACGTCTTAAGAGAGGCCCTCCAAGTTATTGCTAGACACCGAAAGAGTCAACTAATCGAGTCTCGTTTGGTCGCCGAAATTAAGGGTAAGTTCCATCCATTCGAGATCTACCATCACCCTCAAATCAATCTTCTGCCTCAGAGTCGCTCAACTTGAGATTTGTTTTTGCGAATCTTTTCATTCAATTAGGTGGTAATGCTGAAAGCGCAATGGAAATCGTTCCATATAGTCCTCCCCCCGTATCTTATGACTTGCCTGCTGGACTCAATAATATTGGAAAGTGAGTGAACAAGGGTTTGGATTTGTTTGGAATTCGAAATCAAGCACTGACTTCAAGTTTCTTCTTTCAACCAATGAAACAACTTTAGTACTTGCTATTTGAAGTGAGTCTATCCGCTCAGTTCTCTTTTCCATCTGGATGATTACCTAATTAACACAGTGTCTGGTGGATAGTTCTTTGCTTCAGTATTTTTTCTCAGTTCGAGAACTGCGAGAAATCTTGCTCAGGTTTCCTGAGTTCGAACAGGATATCGATGAGCATCAGGAGATGAAGGAAAAGAAAAGAGTTGGAGGTCGGATCGTCTCGGCCTCTGAAATTTTGCGCTCCAAGCAATGTAAGTCCTTATTCTTATGAACTCATCGATCTCAATATCCAAGTAAAGCTGAATGTCACGCGCCGCTCAATTTTCACTTGATTCATGCAACAAAAGTTGCCTCCCAGTTGCAAGGCTTGTTCCGAGAGATGATTAGCACACCATTATCAGCCGTGACGCCGGAGAGAGAGCTTGCATTTCTTGCGCTAGTTCTATCGAAAGATGAGAGCCCGATGAGTGTGCCAACGACGACGACGAATGCGAACCACAACTCGTCTGCGAGTACGGATGCGACGTTAGTGGATGACCAGCCGGTGATACTTGGCCCGACCTTCAATGCGACGCCCTCGCCACCGGCGAATGTTGCCTCAGCGGGTTCATCAACCGTCCTAGGCAAACGGAAGAGCGAGAGCAGCGGGTCAGATGACGGTCATTCGACCAGCCGGAACCTCATGGATGTCGACTCGGTCCCCCCTGCGACCGCTGACAAGGAGCTTATTGGACCCACTAAGGACCTCGCCATGGCTGGTAGCTCGCCCATCTTACCCACCTCCGAACCTGACCCACCTCCTCCACCTAAAGCTACCGCACCATTGATCATCGACCTTACCGACGACTCCAACAACCCTCCTCCTCCTCCTCCTCCTCCCCTTCCGCCCCGTCCGAATCGGAGCAAAAGTGTGACAGCTATTGAGAGTGGATCTCATATGATGTTTGGTAAGTAGATATAAACCATTGACCACTCATTCTCAAGGTTTTTTTTCACTTTTGTTCATTCCCTTGACATCTCCCCTCCATTCATCCAGGTCGTCAAAACGACGTCTCCGAGTGTATGGATAATTGTCTCTTTCAGATCCAGGCCGCTCTTGATCAGGAGAAAATTAGGGCCAGTGGAGAGTTTGATGGGGATGGAAACCTCGTGAAATCGTTGAGTTGTGCTTCTCTTGTTGATGCACCATGGAAAGTTTTTTTTTTAAATAAACCACGCTGACCTATTCTCCCCCAAAAAATGTACTCAGGTTGTTTTATGGCAAAACTAGACAATCCTTGATGTTTGAAAATCCGAAAGGGAAAGTGTCAATCAAGGAAGAACAGTTTGCTTATTTGCTGGTCGATGTGGCTGAGGAAGGTCGAGATCTTTACGATGGATTGGATAAAGTATTTGATGAGAGTGAGGTAGAGTTAGAGAATGGGAAAGCTTGTCGACGAGTGGGATTGGTAGAGTTACCACCTATTCTTCAAATTCAACTACAGGTAAGAAAAAAAACCATTCACTACAATTATTAACTAGGTTTAATCTAAATGTTGAAGATTTATTTTATGTTCTGATTTGATTTGATTGGGTAAATTGTAGAGGGTTCAATTTGATAGAAGAACACATACCGTATTCAAGTCGAATGCTCATCTGAAATTCGGCCAACGTCTTCGAATGGACCGGTACTTAGAACCTGATCCAGATGACCAAGTAGGACAAGAGAAGAGAACCAAGACCATTGGGCTGCGGAAAGAGATTGAATGTCTGCGCGGCAGGTTAGGAGAACTAACGACGAATGTGAGTGGAGACAAGGTAAGCGACCTCCGACTCGCTGTTCAACAGACCCGATCAAGGCGTGTACGAGTTTCAGAGGAACTGATTCTCAGTTGGGCTTGAATAGCGCACCGCCAGCACAGTCTTACGGGACCTGCATGGTATCTTATCCTCCAGCGCGGATCCCAGTAGTTGTCCGTCCAGGGCCGGCTCGAGTCCCGGGACTCGACTGGACTTCTTCCACGGCTTATTAGGCCCCGAGGAGCTCGACTATCTGGATGCTGAAGCCACTGCGATCGACGCGGAGATCGCGGGTAATAAAGTGGCCATCAAGCGTCTTAAAGCACATGTGGAAGAGATGTGGAAGGTCGACGAAACCAACGAGAATGCACCGGCCTCTCGGTCTGAGGAATTCTCTCCTCCTTCTAACACCACCGCTCATCTCCCTCCCTCCCTCGATCACAATCTTCCCACTAAATCTTCTACTACGACAACCACGACTCCTACTTCTACTCCCGTTGTTCCGATGAATGTCGAGCCTTCTCAGTCCCATCTCCCCCCTGCTTCTGGGAATCTCAATAAAGATAAAGATAGGCGGCTTGAGCAGGATGATGATGATGAGCCGGTTATCAAAGATGATCGGATAGATAAACATCCGTCCTCTTCCTCCTCTCAAACTGCCGAATATATCTTGGTCGGCTTATTTATGCATCGAGGTCAGTTTCTACACATTCTTCTTTTTACACTTCTATTATTTGAGGGGATCTTTTATACCAAGGAGGGGGGGCAAAAAAAAATGAAACATATCTTTCACTTCCGCTCTTCTTCCTCGAAACAAAAACACAGGGACGGCACAGGGGGGACATTATTGGGCGATTCAACGACAATTACCGGATCGATTGGATCGATGGTTGAAGTATAATGACAGCCAAGTGAGCGAGATCGATCCGAAGGTCGAAGTGTTCAACGACGACGACGAGCACGCGGACGACGACGAAGAAGAAGGAGGCGAGACAGTCGGAGAACAAATGGTAGTAGAGGGGCCCAAAGCGCGAGACGAGGATGATCAGACCAAGACGCCTCCCTCGACCGATCTCCAACTTCCTCATCAAATCAAACCTTCTTCGTCTGGGTTTCCGGCGAGTAAGAATCGTCAGAAAAGGACGGCTGATAATGCCAATCCTTATTGGCTGACGTATGTGAGGAAAGACCAGCTCAATCGCTTCCAAATGGTCCATCGTAACCTGCATGCTTTCGATCCACCCGTCGTCATCTCCTCCTCTGCTACTCCGCCCGTCCTTTCTTCTTGCTCTTCCTCTTCTTCGGCCCCTCTTCCTCCTGCGACTCTTGTTCCTGCTGATCCTATCGTTCTTTCTTGATCTCTTTTCAACCTTCACCTTCTTCTTCTTCTTCTTCTTCTTCTTTGCTCTTTTTTGGGGGGTTAGTTCTGCTTTTCCTGATTCGTGGTTCATGGCTCGGTCACACAATTTGTGACTGCATGAAAAAGAACAAAAAAAAATGTGCAGGGGGGTGGTTGTTTACCCTTTTTTTTGTTGTTTGAGGGGAGTCATGTTGTTGTTTGTTTGTTGTTAGATTTCCTTTTTTTTTTTCTCTATGATGTATAAATAAATATCAAGATCATTATCATCAAGATGGCTATCCATATATAACTCAAATATTCTCTTTTATTCCGTTCCTTTTTTTTTTAAAAAAAAAAAAAAAAAAAGTGTGTAGATAACCTAATAAAATTTCAATCTATATATTGTTTATATTTATTCTCAGAATTGATTTAGAGCGAAAAGTTAAATAAAGTGAACATTCTCAAGATAAGTGTCACTACAAGAAGCTCAGATGGACATTGGACATACATACACATGGATGAGTGGATAGCCAGAGGAGGCAACCAATGAAAGTTATTTGTACATCTATTATATTATGTAGACTTTGGTTAACAGTCGAGGGTTCCTGGGGCAGAGGGCCGATAACGTCCTCCGGTTCTCTCCAAAAATAGAAGCAAACTTATAAAGGATCCTCTCTGGCAGTGGTGTGCTGGTGGGCACGCTACCTTCTGACGTTAAGAGTTCGGACAGAAATCTCGAGTGGAGGTTTGCTTGGCTCTCGCCCAAAGCAGAGTCATCATCCCGCGACGGGACTTGGAGGCCGGGCGTAGGATACACCGGCCGGAGCTCTTCACGCCGAAGGACAAGCTCGTCTGGCGTCGCGAGTCGCGACGGGGACTGGCTTGGCCCGGGCCAATCCACACAGCCGCCGCTGGTGTCCGTCGTCACCCGCTCAAAAAAAAAATCACATCGCCTGGGTGGGAATGCGATGATAGTAGCAATCGAGTTCAGGCCGGGCTGGTAGACATCCCTCAGTCTCTTGGAAAAGACCCTCGACGGCTGGCTTCTTCGTCGCGTGCTGGACTCGATATATTAGCTCTCCAGATGACGGCTTTGAGGGGAATCATTCAACTTTCTTCTCCTTTCCTGCTCTACCCTTTTCTTTTCTTATAATAATATTTTTTTTCTCACATCATTGCTTTTGTCCAAGAGACATATCAAGCTAAATTCTTCTTCTTCTTCTTTGAACCCTTCCTCTGTGTTTATCAACTTTCCAAGACACCAAGAACCGCAACAACTAATCATGGTAGGTCGAAAAACCCCCGCCTCAATCAACACGGCCTACAATGTGTTATTGGATTTAGAATGTCAGGAGCAAAGACGCTTGCTTGATGGCGGCCAGCCGAGAGTTTCTCCAGGTCGAGGAATTCCAACCCAACCGAGGCTATTACGGCCCATGTATGCCACCTCGAACGTCCAACTCTCTCCACTCTTGCAACGGACGCCGAAGACCGGAGAAGATGCCTTAACGCCACGCGGAGTGATCCGTTCGGACGAAATCCATGAAAAGTCTTACGGCGAGGTGGCCATGGACGATTCGAAGCTTGAAGCAGGAGACACGACCACGCTCATAGGCGGGCGCAAATTCGATAATGATGATGATGGTGATGATGATTGGAATGATCCTGGAGAAGGCCTGGGCAGAGTGACGTTTCTCTGCTTGATCACCGTCGCCCTCGGCCTGCTTGGTCTGTTGTTGTTCATGGGAAAAGCCATCGACACTTTCGATGAGACGGGAAGTGGCAAAGGCCTCTCCAAGCTGCTTGCCAATCATTCTCAAGAGTCCTTACTAGCAACCTTCCCGTTCTCGCCCTCTTATTATCTCAAGGATTGTCCATCATCTCAGCCTCAAGTTGGCCATGCGCACCCATCAACTCCGACCCCTCATTCTTCGATGGGCCTATCTTCTACCTTCGAGCTTATAGATCAACCCTCTTCTTCTCTAGCCACCATTCAAAATCAAACAGCTTATTCTGAAACCGATCAAGATGGAAAACCAATTTGCGAAAAAAGTTTAACATACCTTTTGGATGATGACTTTGGAGTAAGTTTTTAATTTCTTTCCGACAAACCAACTTGCTTGATTGATTCTTACAAGGCAGAAGAAGTTAATTAAGGTTTCTTTTTTGGTGATTTGTTCTAGTTTACTTTCCATTTGAATGCCATTTCCCTTGCCGCTTCTTTGGCAGAGAAAGATTCTCGAGCGTTCTTCATCGTTGACGCTGAATGGGACCGCGGCACCTGGAGAGATCATTTCACCAAATTGTAAGCATCAATCCACCCATTAGCCAGTTTGTAGACCACCCCATGTGTACAATCTTAGCCGACTTTTTTTTTATAATTTGTTGAAACAGACCTGATCCTGGATGTGCGCCACCACCACCCAGCGAAATGGTGGGTTGTCCCCGCTCGACGAGACATTGGATCTTAACGTCCTCGATCCTCTCAGCCCATTTTACGAAGGATTTCGACGACAATTTTGGGGATATCGAAGACCCAGATCAAGTGATCCTAGAGCCTGTGGCAGGGATCATACCTTATTCGAGAAGATCGATCTACGACATGGCTCGGTCCACCCTCATGCGTCTTTTCATCCTTTCAGAAACCGATGACCAACTGATTCACAAGACCAAGCAAGAGATCATCCAGTCTGCCGTCTGGGGCCCTAGCTCTGACCACAATCTTCCGCCCTTTATCTCCGTTCATATCCGAAAGTGAGTCTCGAAAGCTAGCTCTCGCTTTCATACCAAACCTCCCACCTAAATTCTTTCTTCCGATTTCTCTTATTCAGAGGCGACCGACATCCTCACGATCCAGCACACAAGTACGATTACGTGCCCATCAATTATTACATCGATAACATCAATTCTACTTGGACAAGATTGAGAGAAGCCGACTCTACTCTTCCAGAGAGTCCAAATGTGTACGTCTGGGCGCAGTTAAAATCAATATACAATTGGAATGAATGCTGATCTCCCTGCGATTCTTATGAAATTGTTTAGATACCTTGCCTCTGACACGCCTTTGGCTCTTGAACAAATGCGTGCACTGACGCCTGCCAGCTGGAAATTCTTCCATTTATCGGAGGCCAAGTCGCCCGAGATAAGCATGATTGCCCACCCGCACGAATATTCGCAGCTGCATTTCCATGCACACATTCTGAGCGAACGGGTTGGTTACACCAGGGGACAGATCATTGACATGGCTTTCCTTGGGGGTGGATGGCCCAAGCCCGACGGCTCGGTCATGCTGTCTTCAACCGATTTCGAGAAGGTATGTAGTTCATTCATTAAGTCTTTCACTATCTCTCCTTTTTTTTTTCCAGACTAAAGAATAACAATATGGACTTTCTTTTTTCCTTGGTTTATATCAGCCTTTGGCTACTATTTGTACTGTTTCTTCTAACATGTGCCAGTTTGCTGCCCTACAGTTAGGCTGGACCGAAGCCTTCGAAGAATCTAAATGGATCAATCTTGATCTACCGCTCTCGGTTGGATGGATGGGCGTAAGCTCCTTTCCCCCTAGCTTTCTTGTATCAATTATCAGAACTGATCCTTTTTTTGGTATCGATCATTCAAACCTTTTAGATTGAGGTACCAGCCGCCAATACTGGCGACTCGAATCCAGATGGACACGGTCATGGTGGAGCGCACCATTCACACTAGAAAAACCCTTCCCAAAATGCAACTAATTAAGAGAAAACAAAAAAAAATCATTTTCATGACAAATAGATTTGATTTCTTTCATAACTCATCCCTGGAGGTTGTAATATTTATATACATAAAATACATTATATAATATAACTCATCGTGAAAAGTGCTGCATAGTGACTCAATTAATTTTTCATTATTATTCACCGTATAAATTCTAGAGTATTAAGGTAAACATTGACCCTCTTACCTCACCGTAATTCATTCATAACTCAAATATAAGGCTTCTACAATTTTTGGTTAACAAAATTACCCCCAGACCAACTTGTGAATTGAATTTGTGATGAGAAGGCATTGGTGCTCAGGATGTCCCTGGGGTTTGGCATTGGGAGTTAACTCTGCAATCTTTGAGAGTTGATTAAACAAGCCCCTACTTAAACCAGATGTATTCAGATTTCTGTTCTCTTTCACACCCAGTCTCACAGGTCCAATACTCAGAAGGGAGCCAGAAGGGCATGATATAGATGCATGTGTAGGCTTTGTTATAAATCTGTGACAGGGGCTCCAACATGGTTTTTGCCCCCCTTGCCCCTCCCTCCCAAAAAAAATGTGTGTGACCCACCATTACCCTTAAAGATGGCTGGCAGGGAGTCATCCTGGCTGTCAAGGTTGCACCAACTCTGTAACAAATACAATACACAGTTTGTATCATGAGGGATTGTACCAACACATATGGTCAAGAGCCAGATTAAACAAAAATTAGAAGCTCAATAGACATTGGTCATGAAAAAAAATTACATTAGGATCATGATAAATGAAGTGATCCATGCAAATACATCACAAATATCATATTTGTTTCAGTGTTGGTTACACACCTCAATGGCCTCAAAGGTTTCCTACCAGGAATCTACATGTACAGCCTTGTTTGGCTGGGAGGAATTATTCCTGATCAAAAAGGATCTTGTTGACTGGTATGTATTCCCCTTGGTCAATGAGTTAGTACAAACTTATTGACTGGGTGGCATATCTCCTAGTCAGGGAGATAGTGATAACACTCACTGACAAGGTAGATGTCAAAGACATGCACATGAACTCCCCTCCCCATCCTGGGGTCCGCATGACCCACAGAAAGTGCAAAATACCAATTTATGACATGTTTGGGGCATAAACCTCGGAACAAGGTGTTCACACTTCAGCATATAACCTGATGACGTTGTGAGAACTCCTTTGGGATGGATGGCAGTCCTGTGAGGGGGAAATAGCAGTTATGATATTTCAGGTATGTATGAATTTATTACAACTGTTACGGGTGGTTTGAAAGACCTGCCCCTCTAATGTACTACTCTAGAATTCTGACAACAAATTTATTTTATTGTTGTGGCAAAAACTGATGATGAAGAAAACTGTATGTAGTAGTCTCTTATCAAACCTAGATCAACGTGGAATCAGCTGAGACTTAGTGGAAACTTTTAGTGGAAAGGATTTGGTGTGGTTTACAGAAGGCGAGAGTCAGATAATGGAAAGATTTGAAAGGATGGGAGATATTTTTGTATGTTTTATATGTTTATATGAGTGAAGTAAAGTAGATGTTGATATGGGAAAAGGACTGAGAGGAAACTGATGATAAATATGAACTATTCAAAGGGTTTTTGCCCTCCTCCTTAACCTTCAGTTAAGAGAACAAATGGGTTAAGATCACTTTGACTTGTTAAGAGCACAAGGGGTGATACTTGCTAGTTGACTTCTTCTATGCTTCCTGAGGTATGAAAGATGTTGATGGGCCACCTGATTGAGATCACACTGTTGGAGTTTAACTTGATTTGACTTGAAGACTCTGAGTGGGATGTGTGTAGCTGGTAGATGTGCCGGATTGGCATGAGGAACTGATCTGAGGAGGGAGAAATGACCTCCTTATATAGTAAATTGTGAGGGATTTTAGCTAGTGAGGACGTCCTGCGAGGGATTTATGCTGGTGTGACGTCTTCTTTGAGGGATTTTAGCTGCTTGGAAGCTTCTATTGAGCCATTTTTGCTGGTGTGTCATGTGATCTGTACTGCCCCATACAGGAAATCACACGTGTTGCGGAATGTTCTTCCTATGTTGAGGCATTTTTGCTGGTCTGTTGTGAAAATACGTGTGATCCAAGCGTGTGGCTGGTGATGTCATGTGAAAATACGTGTGATCCAAGCATGTGACTAAACATGTGATCATACATATGCCTGTACAAACAAAGATTGCAACTATGCACTTATATATAAATCTATACTATGTACTACCCAAAACAACTATACTATACTGTAGTAAAAAACTGATTTATCAAATAACTTTTGACTGAGTGGAGCTAGCCTAGTGGTTCCAGTGAGTGACTATGGGTTAAATGACCTGTAGAATCTATTTAAGTAATAATAACACCAAGAATCTAGCCTATAATCAAGAGTGGATCATGACTTTATGCAATTTGGTACTTGAAACACATTTGGCACACTACAACGTCATCCTGAGAACATTTGGTGGCTCCAAAAAACAAGAGGTGCAGTTATTTTATTGTATATTACAATTGCATTTCTTTTATTCTTTGTTGTTTTTCTCTGTTTTGGATAAAACAATTGTATGATGAATATAACCTTGTAAATTTTTGTGATGCTGAGAAATTCACTTGCAGGGTTACATTACTTGTTACCAATTATGAGGGAACTTATTCAGTGAATATTTTTTTTGTCTCTTAATCTATCTGCTATTTGGTCTACTATTACTCTTCCTTGATCAGATTTTGATTTCTATGGGATTCTAAGCACCGTATTGTGAGTATATTTACATTTTTTGGAATACATTACCAGGGAATAGGTACGAAAAATACCAAATCTCTCAAACTTCTGTGAGGATTATTTGATATGATAAGCTGAAATGCCCACCATTCTCCTGCTGAGCCAACAAGCTGTTCCACTGGTCATCATAATTAAGTTCACAAAGTGACTTGATAAGTTTATTATCTCTGCAATGATATTTGTATCTTGTTCTTATTGGGTTTGATTTATACAATTGGTAGCCTTGGGTGAATATTTGGGTTCCTTCTAGTTGGCCAGTTGTTCAATCATATGATGGCCCCCAACTGACTGCTGATCTAAATACAGCCAATGATGGCTGTCTGATACTCCCTGAAATAGTTATAGCAGTTGGAACATCCTTTGATCACCTGGTGCTTAATAACACATAGTCACTGGTTCAGTTCCTGCTGAAAACCTCTCCTTGTCAGCCAAGGATCCTCAGCATGAACCACATGAACATCATATTAGTAATTATGATTGCCATCACACCAGCTTGCATGGCCCAAGGAAGTAATGTCTGTTGTGCTGCATGTGGCCAAAAAGCTTGGGAGATTTTAAACCTAGAATCCCGTCCCCCACGTAAAAAGTGTGGTCAACCCCTTGGATTTGATGGAGGCAGGCTCTGCGAAAAACAACGTACAAAGAAGTACCACAAATGCCCTGATCCTGAATGCAAAGCAGAAACTGTCAAAACAAACGATTTCCAACTGATGAACAGGAAGAATGTATACATGAGAACAAAATTGTATACAAGCCACCAATTAATGCACAATCTGAAGCATCTTCTTCAGGAACAGCTGTACGCACTAGTACTATACCTGGTGGTGGTGTATTCTACCACTTCCTTGAAGAAAAGCAATCACCACCCAGATGATCACCAGATTTAAAATCACGTGCACACAATTCATTTTTGGTTATTAAAAGGAATTGAAAACAGCCATTGCAAGAGGACTGTGATTCCAGCAATTTCATCCCAGTGAGAATCGCAAAGCTTTTTTTTAAGAAAGGCCCAGATAAGCCTGTCTCACACAAAGTCTTTCCACAAATATTCTGCAGTATTTCTTCAAGGAACTTTGTATGGCAGAAAATGCTAAATTATCTTTACAAAATGTGATAGAAATTAAAAACAAGCTAGCCTTAGCATACCCACCCAAAAATTAAAGATGTGCTAAAGTGAGGAAAAGTGATATTTTATATTTGATGAGCTTTGGAAAAGGGTTTGATTTTATCCCATCCAAAGTATAACACCCAGATAATTCTTGATCACTGGCAAAGTTCAGCCAGCTACCCATAATCTACATGCTGATTGTCTACAGTCCCCTGGATATTAAAAAGGGTCCCAGTCCATTGTTAGCACTGCTGCAGCAGAAACAGAGCTACAATCATTGTTTCACACTTTCATTTGTAGCCAAGTGTATATTCATTTTCCATAATGTAAGTTATTCTTGGACCAAAATTTCAGTTTTTCTAGTAAAGTAATTGGGGGATTCACCATCCATATGTTATCATGTGTCAACACTACTGGCAGGACCTAAGCCTTGATTGGATCCTTCCCTTCATTATGGTGTAGGTTAGGACATATTATAAAAGAAAATGAGCTCCCCTTTCCCATAAAACATGCAGGCAGATCGTTGAATCATTTCAGGCAAATGGGCTAAGCCCAACCCACCTTGACTTGTGGAATCAAGCAACCTCTGAGCCCAAGACCAAACCTTTTCGTTTTGTGGAGAAGGCTTCTTGTAAATGCATCAAATTTGCCTGAGGTCTAATTATACAGGGTAGCTTCCCATAGTATCTGTGTGTAAGTCAATACCCTGGATCAGAGGCCAGAGACCCACTTTTCCTCTTCTAATGACGGATGACAAGTGACGTTGTATCCACCCAGAACCCGGCGCGGGGTATTCTCTTCCGAATTGTCGCTATCATAGGGCAGGGTTGGGATGTCAAATAGCAGCAGCTTCAAGCGAGTGTCACATACCCCGCACCTGAGGTAGTGTTGGTTCAGGTTGATGTCTGATCGGACTCTTTTTTTTTTTTTTTTTTTTTTTTTTTTTTTTTTTTTTTAAGTGCTAATTGATATTGACATTGCGCACTACAGTGAAAGCTATTGTGAGTATACATGTGAAGACGTTTTTGTAATTACAATCGATCATACGAAACAATGTTAAGTATTTAATTAATGACTTCTGAAGACTTCTTTGTTTTAACTGACTGTAAGAGTGA